AAAATTTGGAAAACTATTTTTTCAAGTAAATAAATAGAGTCAAAGTGCAAAATTTAAACTCTCATAACTTTGAAATTTTTATAGATAATTTTTTTTTAACATTTTAACATCCTGTATAATTCCGAGTACGAGCATGACTAGTAGATTAAAAAAATATTTTTTTATTTCGTGTTTTGGGTTGTCAAAATTGGAAGTCAAAATATTTTACAAATTTTTTCAAGTTAAAAGTACCAGTTCCAGCTTTTTTTGTTCTTAGTTGCGTGTTCAAACATTTACAAAAAAATTTACAGCTGTAAATTCAATAAAAAATCCTTAAATCCTTAAGATGGCTCTAAATGACATTATTTATATAAAATATTCAATGATCGAGTTTAATTTTTTTTTTTTAATTCTTTGAATTCTTGAAGTTAAATCGAAAATTAATATATTGGAAAAAAATTAGCTTTCAACTTATCTCACAACATTGAACGCACATTTCGATGGTGTTTTTATTTTTGTCATAGAACAGACATTTGAAATTTATTTTTTTTTAGTCTAATAATGTCATATTTTAGGCACGATTGGGATTGTCTTCGAGGGCCCTCCCATCTTTGTCGTTGCTGCAATCATCGGTTTTCTCCTTTTGTTGATTTACATATCCTTGAACATTTATTACTTTGGGGCTGCTCGCAACGTTTTGCGACGCATTTGGCAACGAAATTTCGAAGACCCAAACCTTGCCTTGCCACCAAACACACATCGTTGGCGGTCACTCATAATTGCAGTTACAATMAATATTGRAWTAATCATARTGGGACTAGTTTTGTTTTARTGCACAGAGAAAATCGATTTTGGAACTTTTATTTTACTAATTTTGGCAAGCAACGCTTTATTGTACACCCTGCTGTACACCTGCATGAAGGTTGTTCAATAAAATGTGATTTTTTTCGCTAATTGAGAAAATTTTTAGAGGTGTGTTTATGGTGAAAGAATTTGCGTTCAAGCAGTGATTTATGGGATCCTCGCAGTGGCATGTTGGGTCCCAGCTGGGATTTTTTTCTTCACCCAGGCCTCACAATGGACTGTGGGTTCTTGTGGTAAAGTCCAAAAACAAACTAATATTTTTTTCAGGAAAGTCCAGCTCGATCCCGCCAACTCAACCAACAATGCATCTTCGCGGACTTCTTCGACAGCCACGACCTCTGGCACTTTTTCAGCTCCATGGCACTCTACTTCTCCTTCATGTACTTGTTGTGTATCGACGACAACCTTTACGAAAGACGCACAAATATTCCTTTATTCTAAAATAAATAAAAACTTTTTGTTATATTTTATGTGGAATTAAAATCAAATAACCCAGTTAGGACCTAACACCTGGCGTTTTTTT